AATATAAACACCATATAGCCACACATTTATTCTTTAACTTTATGTAAAATACACTGTAAAACAGAAATAATTATTTTCAAAAATATTTTCTAGTAATTAGCTCCCCTCCCAAACAAATTTAGTCTAATTATGTATCAGGCATGATAAAATGAAAGGTCAATAGCTACAGATGCATCATTTCACTCTGATAGATTGCTATTTGAAAATAGGTTATGACAATTAGATGATTAATTTTCATCTATTAAATAGCATTATGAGACTTATGATTACATTTATCAGTAAATTCTTTTTAGTGGGAACATAATATGAGGAAAGACCAAACAGAATAGGAATTAATATCCTTTGTGAAGGATCAGAACATACTTTCTAACAACCACAATTGTGAAAATACTTAGAAAATGAAATTCTGTTGGAAAACTCATGTTTTGTTCATCATTTTAAAGTGACATGTTAAAGATTTCATATGGGAGTATGAAGAGCAAAATTCTGGATGTCCTGCTGGCAATTTGTTGTTGTTGTTGTCCTGGTTATCTGCAAAGTATACACCCCTTGTCAGTATAACTAGGGAGTGCTTATGTAAACATTCTTGTTTCGCCTGTTCCACATAATCATTTCTTGTATCACATTTCTTCTAACCTCGCTATCTGAAACCAATTACAGGAGATCCATTTGGGCTGCATCTGTTTTCATAAAAAGCCTAGGCAGCAGTGTTTTTCTCAGAGATGAATATCAACATCAAATATGCTTCTGAGTGCTTTGTTATTTATGTTTCAGAGAGATTTTGTGGCCTTCAGCTCTCAAGAATGTGTCATGCTGTGCTGTTTATACATTGAAGATATTAATGGGTGTAGATGTCATTTTTCATTTTAATGTCTCAAATGCAACAGGCTGATAGGTTAAGCATTCCTATTTTTATGGGGAGAGATATGAGTGATGTCTGTTTTTCCCCCAAATATACATATATTTACTTTGAAAAAAAAAGAAGTTATTTATAAACCTTAGAGTACTCAACATTTTTGGTTAAACTGGGTTTTTCTAAGCTATTCATAATTTTATTTCTGTGTTTTTCAAGATAAAAAAAAGTAATGTTTTCCATATCCCCCAAGAAGGAAAAAGTATTGATCTGACAGGTCACAAAAATTTTTCATTCTTATTTCTTATAATAACCTACTTATTAGAATTCTATGAGGTTCATAATGAGCATAAAGTTATTACTACTGTAGAAGGGTAATATGCTTAAACTTTACTTTTCTTAAGCATTTGTGCTTTATTTGAAATTACACAGTAACTATTAAGAATGTTGTTTTTAATAAATATTTTAGAGCAAAATGCACTGAATTCTGGACAACATGCATTTCCACACCTTTGCAGCCTAACAACAACAACAAAAGTATATGTTCAATCTATTATACAGCTTTTTATTCTTTTCAAAATATTTAGTTTAATCAGATTCCAAGTTTAAAAGTGTCTTATCTTAGTTTTCTTCAGCTTTACTATAATTAAATAACTTCATCAAGGAAAGTGTACTCTTAATTTAAAATAAATTGTTTTTGGAAATTAGATAGGTTTGGCTGCCTTAGAAACCTCTTTCTTGTTCATTTGAATCAGGCTCAGACAATATTAAAGAAAGATTTGTAAACAAACATCTTTTGCCTTTGGTTCTAAATTAACTTTTTGTTTTTTTGTGGAGGGTGGTCATATAAATACTTAAATAGCTCATAGAACTTTATGAATGATCCTGGTATATAAAATTTCTATTTACCAGTTTAAGTGGACAAATGATTTGCAAATTAATATTTTATGTATTTTGACATCTAACACCTTATATTGATGGAAATGTTAGCTCATAATCTTTCATCTTTTGAGTAGCTACAATAATAAATTGCAAAGAATAACTAAAAGTGTCTGAGCAATTGTTTACTGAAATTAAGTCCTAAAGTGTAATCCAGAATACTGGAAATAAAAAATGTTATGTAATGCCTGCAGTTGAAATGCAAACTACAAAAGATTTATGCTTAAGAGTTTCTAATCATTCCTGATCTCTTGGAATTGTTTTTTGTTCTCGCACCTCTCAGTTTACTATGGCAAATCTCTATTGCTGCAAAAATAATGTTGAAATAGGCAAGGTGTTCTTTTTCATAAGCTTTTGTATTGAAAGATTATCCTTGACTGTTTCAAAGATAAATGTAAATGCATATGCGAACCACATACTTTAAAAGTAGAAGCATAATTTAGCCGAATAGCTTGTGGTATTCTATTATTAGTACTACTCCTTTAACAACAGTGCACATGTATCTATTTGCCTAACAATATTTTCATGAGCTACAACTCTAATATATCTAATTTTCTAGTGTCTTTCTATAGCCATTGGGCATTGCATATATTCATTCCATTGGGTTACTTGTTTGGGTTGAGTTGACTGAATGTAAGGCAGAAATGGATAGGGTTTTGTACTTGACAGACAAGAGTCTGAGCTTCTGACCAGACTGTTACTGCTTTGTGACTTTAATCAAGTTATTATAGTATTGGTTCTTCAATTCCTTGTCTTCAAAATGTGAAAACTAGGATAACCAATTTCTAAGGTGTGTTTTTTTTCCAGCTTTGGAATTTTTCAGTTTATGACTAATAACTGGTCAAATGATTGGAGTGTTACAGGACTATAGCACCCCATCACGTATTCGTAGACTATGTGATGAAGTCCAACACAAGGATGGTGGGAATACTTAGCCATAAAAATGACATATACCCTGTGATAGTTTTTCTATTCAAGCATTTACAAATTGAAAACATAAAATATTATATTGTAGTTCCCTTTTTAAGTTTCTGATAAATGGGTATGCCCTCTTGTCATACGTTCTCCTTTGCTAGAGTTTTTATTCATTGCCATCGAACAGTTCCTTTGACAGAACAGATAGTAACCCACACTGGGATGTACTCTGGCCTGAAGCCTGGATACTGTGAACAAAGCACAGGCCTATTTGCCCCATTTGCTAAAATGCGGGGGTCTATTTCAATGATTTCACTTCAAGATTCTGAACTACCCTTATTAGAATCCTTGAAAAATAGTAAAACAACTACAGAATTAAATATAATCTAAATAAGGCTGAGTATATGCAAAATAAACTAAGGACCTCAAAGGGGAAAGCAATTATATGAAAAATATTAGGCAAATTTGTGTGAGTTTGGCACCAAAAGGAAAACTAATTGATTACTTTTCAAGATTTTCACATTGACACAGCCTAAATCAGTGGTAATTTCCATTTGAAAAAAATATATATCATTGGTAGTTTTTAAGTTGTGATTTAAACAGAAAGTAATATTGGACTATCAAGTGACATTTTTCAAACTGAGTTTTGCGATAAGTGTTTATGGAATTAATTTTTATTTGGTCTTTTATTCACACTGAACTTTATCATAAAATTGCTAAGTTCCCTGGAATGTTTCATCCTTAGAAGCATTTAGGTTGACTTGTGATTACTTGAAAAATTTAAAATAAGAAAAAAGGGAGATTTTTTGAGCGAGTGTGTTTCCAAAAAGTGTGCTTTACAAACTACGCCGGATCCTGCTCTGGGAAGATAAATCAATGTTGTTAGGAGATGGTGCGAGTGCATGCAGTTTGTTTACTTTGGTTTCTATGTCTGCTGCCTTCTCAGAAAACTTGCTTGGAGCCAGGCTGTAGCAGCCCTCCTTTCTGTCTTTTCATAATTGATCAGGGGATGACTGCCTTCCCTGAGGGTTAAGACATGGCAACTTTTTCTGTTTGCTCAGCATCTCAATGCAGTAGTTCAAACATTGTTCACACCAGCTGGCAGTGTAATGCCATATGCACATCTTGTCAAAGCAACTGTTGTCATGGATACTAGAAACTCTCTTAAAAACCATATCATTGATTCCAATGGAAATTGTACTTTTTTCTGCTTAGAATCTTAATTATTATAGAAGAAAATTAATCTAAAATATTTTCCCCTTCTTGAAAACTTTATCACATATTCTAAAACAGCGAATAACAAAGGAAAGAAGTGGTTTAGTTTCATGTGTTGGCAAATTTCATCATTAATGTTTATTGAGCTCAGTTGTTGAGAGAAAAATAAGTTTGTACAGTAGAGGCTCTTAAAGTTTTTTTTTAAATTAGTTTATACTGTTAACCTTTCAAACATCTCAATATGTGGGTTTTTGTTGTTGTTATGGCAGTAGTTTTTATATTAGTTTATACAGTATAATGGCCAAACTGCCTCTCTTCCAGCAAAAGAATGTTTACATTAATTTCTTATGTTGTTTTATTATCCTGAGTTGGAAAGAAACTGTAAAAATAAATGAAAACATCTATTTTGATTGGTGTTCTATCACACATAGAAATAAACCTGATTGGTTGAGTGGTAATTTCTTTGTTCTTTGATTTTGCTAAGAATGTAAATGAAAACCACTCAATTTTATTTGGCATTGAAATTGCACTTTATTTTGTCAAAGGAGAGGTTTCTTCTTGAATTGCAATTACCAAAAAAAGTATTTTAAATCTTTAGTGAAAATCCTTATTAATTCACTTTCAAGATAATCTGATGTCGATTTGTCAAATTTAATTACAGCTTCCGGTAACACTTGAAGTCTACTGCTTTTGCTTCAAAATTGTAATATGAAAATACAAATTGATGATGATTTAAAAGGGAGGGAGCATTATAGTTGAACATTCAAAGACAAGTTCCTTGTGGAAATGCGATTACTGAGGCAGTTTGTGATATTTTTCCTTTTCGAGCACTTTAAACAAATTAACTTTATTTCCTGCAGGATAAAAGCCATCTCTGTGGCTTTAAGTAAATTTGTATATGTGTGTTATGTAAATTTTTTTCACATTAGAAAACAAGAATATTTAATGATTTTTCTCTAGAAAGGAGGGTTGGATGGGCTTCTTATACATTGAAGCTTATTACTGGTAACCAGGGAATAACTGATCCTCAATTTACCTTTAACAAAATATTTAGATGTTGCTCCCTTTTTACTTCTAGGCTCTCCAAGCAGCAAGACAACTTCTCTTACAACAGCAAACAAGTGGATTAAAATCTCCTAAGAGCAGTGATAAACAGAGACCACTGCAGGTAGGTAATGTATTCCTGTCCTTGGGGGTCTTATTTTAAAACATATTTATTATGAGAACAGAAATGCAGACTCAGTTGTATACATACAGAAAATTATGATGTTTGCCTATGTAGATGATTTCCATTCAAAAAGAGAATTCGCTTTATCTTCTTGAAAGAGAAAGAAAGAATTTTCTATTAGCGTAGATTTCAAAAGTTTACAGGGTCACTTACTGCAAAAATTATGTAGGAACCACATTTGGTGTACGTGGGCATAAAAGTTTGCATTAAACTTTCTGGGATTTGAATGGAGTTTAGTTCACAAACAGGTAAAAATGTGGCATTTCTTTCTTAAAAGCAAATCATAGTAAAACGGTATGGAGTAAAACAAAGCAGGCTTAGACAACCCTTCTGTAGTTGTATTCAAGTGACAAATGCAGAAAACCTCCCATTTTGTCAGAAAAAAACTGAATTCGCCACGGAGTTATTGCTGTTGCTACAGTTATAAAAATACATTCTGGAGTTTGTTGTCCTTACTCACTATGTTTGTCCTGTGGAACTGAGAGTCTGTATGTCGTTTAAAGTAAATTTTTCTTATATAATGTAACCATTGTTTTATTTAGTCTTAACAGGAATATTTAGGGCATTTTCTCCAAGAAATAAACATTTTCAGGTTTCATTTGAAAAAATATTTGGAAGGTATCTGGAGATGCATAAAACATCTTTCAAAATGTTTATCAGCTCTGCTGGAGGATAAGCAATGCTTTTTTAAATCCAAGTTACATACATGTCTAATAAGGCAAGCTTAGTTTTTTTTAAAAAAGTAAACATCTTTCTTGTTGCTTTAACAAAACTATTTTGAAAATTTTTATGGCCTAGCTGTCTGTTTTCCTTTGTAGGTGTACTCCCAGATGTTAGTAACTAAGTCTTACATGATGGCCTTCTGACAGAGAATTATAGGCTACTGATGTACACAATCCAGAAACTACTTACTACCTAAAAACTGGATTAATTTATGGTCCCTAGACAGATATGAGATGAGAATATATTTTCTTGGGAACAAACCCATTTTGGGGGAGTGGGTGGGAAGAAGGGGGAATTGGGGATGAGGCATGCCTTTTAACAGAGTAAAGTACAGATGTCTGCCATGATTGTATGTGAGTTATACTGCAACAGTCTGAGTTTAATATCCATCTTAATTTTTCCTCTTTTAAAATAAATTTCACGTTCTTTTGTTTTAACTGATCAGTAATTCTGTAGTGAGACATTTTACTTACCATCATATACTTCCCTAAGTAATAATAGTGATTTGAGCATTTCCATTGAGTTTTCTGATTCCATGAGAGCCTCTCCATACGTTTATGTGACAGAGAAAATTTTACATAGAAGTCACAGAAGATAGCAAACGAAATGTTTATCCTCACTATGGCTTCAAACTGGGAATTGTGCTTTCTTGTTGGTATAGCAAAGGAGGTTTACTAGTAGATGCTCGCAGCATAAGCCAAAGGTAGGAAAGAGTTTACTGTTTTTAATATCTGAAAGAGACTATATATATTGTCCTAATCCTATCTTATTGTGTCTCTTGACGAATTAGACCAAGTAGTTGTACCTTCCTCTCCAAAGCTAAGTCAAGGAGAAGTTTCTTTATTGGTGATTACCAGGATATTTCTGGAAAGAATGGCTGGGCTGAAATTTTTCTATTTTCTCTTTTTGTTGTATTGAAAGGCAAAATTTGGCTATACTTTGTTTAACCAAATATACATAATTTTCTTGGCAAAACACACACACACTAATATGGGAATAGTTATGACTCTAAAGTAAGAAATTGTTGCTTATGTACCAAATGTTGTATAAATAAAATTTTGAGCCTAAGTCCTCAATTTTATTTTTATTATAAAAGGGTGATTAAAAATTTACAAATACCTTTTAACAACTTCAATTGCTAACCATTGCTATAGTTTATTGTGTCACTTATTAGTGTTTTGTGATTCATATTAACACAAATATATCTTGATTATACAGATATAAAACTCTAGAATTTTATTATTCTTTGGGAATTTTAATAGGATCTCATGCCAACATGTCATAGGAATGAAAAGTTGGTTTTTAAGAATGAGAATTTAGAATAATGACTGAAGACTTATTTGTTCACCAAAATATACACAGCAGTTAATATAATGTGATTCTACGTTTTTAGTATTTTGTAGTACCTGATAAGCTTTGCAACTAGAAACATGCTGGGATTGTATAAAAAATCGAATAAAAACCTAATAGCATTTTATACTAGCTTACACATGTTGTCAATGGGGGATATTAAGTCATACTTATTTTTGCATCTGCAAATATCATTTAACATGAGTTGCACTATGTATTTGCCACTCGTGTTAAGGAAAAGGATAGAATATTTTTGCTAATTATAAATATTTAATATGAAATTAGCACTTTAAAACTTTTATGATTTTATCACAGTCTAGTTCTTTTTTAAAAATATATTTTTATTGATTTCAGAGAGGAAGGGAGAAGGAGAAATAGAAACATCAATGATGAGAGAAAATCATTGATTGGCTGCCTCCTGCATGCCCCATACTGGGGTTGAGCCTGCAACCTGGGCATGTACAGCCCTTACCTGGAATCAAACCTTGACCTCCTGGTTCATAGGTCAATGCTCAACCACTGAGCTATGCCAGCCAGGCTCTTTTTCTACTTAACTGTTTAATCAATCTTTCATAATAGAGTTGGTGTAGATTATCTTTTAGATTTAAAAAAATAAGTGAAAATGTTTCAAAATCTGCGCTTGAAAGCAAGTCATTTGGTGTTAATAATAGATCATGCTGGTTAGAGGACCAAAAGAGATATGTGATTTTCATTTTACTATATAATTTTTATGGATAACTATTTTATAAAGTTTGAAACAAAATACAGATTTTAGAAAAATATTTTGATGGCTCAAGTCACAAGAACAATATTTGTTGCTTGTTATACTCAACTGAATTTCTTTTAAATGTTGAAAAGTGGTAGCCAGATTTGAAGTGTGACATGGCGAAGAGTCTATTGCTGGCAGACTAGTATTTATCTACTATTACTTTTTCATTTACATTTTTCTGGTTTTTCTGCTACAGATAGCATAGATATTAGCATATCTACTGCAAAATTGAAAGAAAAATCACATCTAATGAGCCTACCGATTGTAGTAGTGATTTCACTTTCATGTATAGATATCTGAATGTATGTATTTGAAACATGTTTACATATTAATTCATTGCATGAAACACCACTTAAATAGGGCCAATCAGTTAATATATTGATTAATGACATATTGATGATTAATATAAAATGATTGTGATGCATATTGGAGCTGTTATTAAACTAAGCATTACCAGATTTTTCTTTTTTACATTTCTACTATGTATCTCAGAAAAACAAACCCTAAAATGAAGATGGCCTCTTATCTTAATTTACTTTCCTTTTCTATATCCACTCCTAGCACGTCCTAGACGTGATGTACCCATACTGGTCTATAAGGAGGAAAGTTAGCCAAAGAGAATATGTAATGCTTTCAATTTCATGAAATGAATTTCCTGATTGAAAAGAGTAAGTTCACATTGTTTTATGCACACATGCACACTTCCATAATCTGTAATTAAAAACATTTTGTAAAATACATTATCCATTTTCTAGCCTATGACAGATCTACTTAATTTAGTTTAGGTATGAAATTGGTCGCATTATTGTTCTTGTTACATTTACAGCCATGAGACAGACTTGTGGTTCTTCAACAGCTGTGCAGAGCAGAGACGTAAATTTAAGGTAAATGCCATTGCTTTGCTATCTTAGATGAATATTAATATATAACATTGTAATCACTTCCATTGTTGTAGATTAATATCTAATATAAGGTTCTCTTTTTCAATAGGCAATTTAAATTAATTTTAAAATAATTCTGAGTTAGTTTAAGAATGGAGTACTTAAAGGCAAAAGTGAATTAAACTTAGGAGTCTTATTCTGAGTCTGACACAAGCTAGTAATATAGGTTTGAGGAAGTCACTCAACATCTTTAAAATACAGACATTGGGCTAACTGATGAATAAAATGGAATGTTCTGTGACTAAAGATTTATTTCATTTTTTAATCCTCACCCAAGGATATGTATTTTATTGATCTTAGAGAGAGAGGAAGGGGAAAAAGAGAGAGAGAGAAACATGGACATGAGAGAGAAACATGAGAAACATCGATTAGTTGCCTCCTGTACATGCCCAACCAGGGATCGAGCCCACAACCTGGGTATGTGCACTGACCAGAATGGAACTAGAGACTAGAGACCCTTTGGTTCCTGGGATGATGGTCCAACCAACTGAGCCACATTAACCAGAGTTTATTTCATTTTTTTAAAACTAAGTGATAGGTATCTTAATTCTTCTAGAATAGCTGTACTTTGTTGGATATTAGCTTATGGGTTAAGGGTTATGTTTATGTACTTGTTTGTTTTTACTTACAAAGGACTTTAAAAACATACCATAGCAAAAAAAATAATGCTTTGGTATCAAAGTATTAAATCTTAGGTGTATGCTAACTATTGTGCAGAAAGTATTAATTTATATAACATCTAAGAAAGTTTTGTTGCATTTAGTGCCTTGAAATAATTTTATAAATTGTTTTTAAGAAAAATCTAAGTTACACAAAGAATTATCTTACCTATGTATTTACTTTAATAATCTACATTAAAATACATTGTCATAAAATACAATTTAACAAATTTCTACCTTTCTCTAATTCTTCAGTCCAAAATGTTAAAATTATCATCAGCAGACAATCAGTAAGTTCTGTAGCAAACTAATAAGCATTTCTAAAACTTTCATTTTAGGGAAAAAAAACCAATAAAGTGCAAAATCTATAAATAATGAAGTTGAATGTATAAATAATAAAAATAAATATATCTTTGGGATATAGAATTGGGCATTGGTAAATATGTTTTAGGAAATTGTCAAAATGCATTTATACAGTGATAATGAATGAATTTGAAT